TTCTATTGTCTTATATTCCACCCAGCAGCGACCTCGCTGCCTACAAAAATCATATGGACAACTTAATCTCTATAATAAATAATGATAATCTGTCTGATGAGATAATATATTTAGGCGATTTTAATTTAAGTAACGTCTCTTGGCTAAGCGATTCGAATAATATTTTACCAACTAATCTCAGAACGGATATCGATATGCTAGTTGTAAGCACATTGTTTTCGTATAGCCTAAAGCAATGTAACTCTTATCCCAATAACAATGGTAGATTCCTTGATCTAATTTTTGGGTCAGCTGATCTTCGACTATCATGTTCGGAGTGTTCGTCTCCTATTTTAGAAAATAGTCTTCACCATAATGCCTTGGTGGCTCAATTTGAGTATTATAGCTTCGATAAAAAACCTACTGAATCTGCTGTTGAATATAATTATTTTAGTGCTGACAGTGTAGCGATGAATGACTTTTTACTAGCCACCGATTGGGCTTTCCTGAACTCCCCTATTGGACCAGATACTTCTTACGCTATTTTGCTACAACGACTTTCGTTAGCTATCTGCAGTTTCCTACCTCTAAAGCGAATAGTTCCAAACAATAAACCACCCTGGTTCAACTCGAAACTGAGTAACCAAAAGAACATTAAAAATAAAGCTTTTAGGAAACATAGAATGAGTACTGATGAAGTTGATCGACTTAACTATGTAAGACTTAAAAAGAATTTCGATTGTCTTAATAAGTCTCTATTTAAACAATACATGCTTAAACTCGAATCGAGACTGAAATCAAATCCATCTAGTTTCTGGTCCGTTATAAACTCTAAAAGAAAGACCAATGGTTTCCCGACAAGCATGGAGTATGATGGTGAAGTGTCCAATAATACGCAAGATACCTGTAATTTGTTTGCTAAATTATTTCAGAAGGTCTACTCAAAGTTTACCACTTCATCAATTTCTGCATTGCATAACTCGTCTTTACCACCAATCTCGTTCTTCGACATTACCGTCGATGATGTTCTTCTGTCAATTTCAAAGTTGACAAGCAGCGCAAAATCTGACATTGACGGTCTTTGTCCGTTATTTTTCAAAATTTGTTCCGAT